TCTCTCTCTCTCTGCCTTGCTCCCTTGCTGTCCCACATTGTTCTTCATCTCCCTTTGTGTTCCTGTTCTGCCTCTAATTTGTATTTCTTCTTTATCTTTCTTTTCTTCTCTTTCCTTCTCTTGCCTGTGCCCTCTGACCTCACTGCTAACTTTCCCCTATCCTTCTACTTACCTATTCTTCCCTCCCCAACACCTTCTAACTCCCCATCCCAAAGGGTAAAGTTGCTATATTGAAGAGTTTATTCATTATAAACATATGTTGGGTTGGTCTTTGATTTTGATTTAATTCACACAGTTAAAGGCGATAGATTAATAACTGCCACAAATTGTCATTTTCTAAGAGGTACTTGATGGTATTGTGTTACTGATTGTATCACTTGGGCTAAGGTGTTGTGATTGATCTAATCAGTTGTCCTTCCTGGTATAATGAAAATGGGACAGCCTCAGAGCCATTAGAGACTCGAAACCTAAAGGCCAGCTATATCTGGAAGACACCTCTGAGAAGCAACCATTCCATAAGGGTTCTAAATAAATCAACAAAGATACTTACAGTAAACAACTTCAAAGTATCAACCCAGGAACTAAACCAAGGACAGTACCAAAAACAAAAATGAGGAGACATTTAAGTAAGGCACAAACTCAGACTTCCACCCCACAAAAGGCAAATTCTGGGGGAAACAAGGTGGAAAAGTCTGATAATCAACCACCTGGGCACCCTGAACTAGTAGCACAGGAAGTAACAAAACAGATGAATGAGGCTATAGAAAAATTCAAAACAGAAATAATTTCCCAGATAACTACAGAGATGGTGAGCAGAGTGAAAGACATGATTAGAGGCTCTAGAACAGAAACAGATAAAAAAAAAAAAGATGATCTCAGAAACATGCTGGAAGCTATGAATGCCCAGCATAAGACAGAAATGGAAACCATGATTGCCCAACATAAAAAAGAAATGAAATGCATGAAACAGATTCAAGCAGATATTCAGGAGATTAAAAACTCCATTGAAAGCATGAAGAGCAGATTAAGGGAATCTGAAGATAGAATATCAGATATAGAAGAGAGGATTTTGGTTAAGGACCATGAAAACAGAGATCTCTTCAAAATAGTAAGGGACCATGAGAAATCAAT